GACTCCGTCTGGCGTGCCGGGCTGGCTGCGCTCGCCAGGGAGGAAAAGGGTTCCCATTCAGAACAGGTCTCCGGATGATGGTGCACCAGGCCCCACGGTGGGCGCCAAATGTCGGGGGTTTGTGCGATATATGCCAATGGATGGCTTATCATGGTGGGGCCGAGTAGAACGTCGTCGGTGCCTGGAAACGGGATGATGCGTAGACACGAACACCGACGAACTTTACCCAGGTTCGGGGCTCTCCTAGGAGATAACACCCCTAGTCCTGCTCTGCGGGGTCTCCGCATGATCACTATGGCAAAAGTGGGTACAATGGTGCTCCTTGAGCTGTATCTGTGGGCAGGGGGAGACTAGGCCAGCTCTCCCCCTTCTCTGAGGTCTTGTCTAGTTCTAATGGATTGAAACCCTTTGCATGGGTGCCCTGGGGGGTTTATATAGGCCTACCCCCCAGGGGTACAATGGTAAACCGACTGGGCGCAGGGCCCAGCCGTCAGTCTCTTCGCCTGCCGGCTTCTCTGTCGATTGCTGGGGCCCGCCGGCTGGTGGGCCCCGCCGACTAGTCTGATACGGAGCCGACATGCCGTACCCGCTGCTTGCGAGTCTTGCCGGCTGCCGATTACTATAGCCGTGCTTCTAATGACGCAGACTTGGTCATGGGGTCGTGACTACAGCCCTACCACCTGGCGGGCGATTACTGTAGCCACTCCCCGTCTCGTCTGGTTAATGGCGCGTGGGACCCATGGGAGGGGCAGGCCGACTTCCGGGGGCCGGCTCCCTTTGGGTCCGACTGGTGGCGCTCTTGCCGTCTTCTGGACTCTCGCTGGCCGGTAGGGCCCATCGTCCATGGACCATACCGACAGGCCGTCGTGGGTGCAGGACTTCGCCTACTGTTGCTGATGTCAGGGATGGCACGACAACAGTACCTCGCCGGACGGAGATCTCCGCTGGTACGGCGCACTGTGGCCTAGCCATCCCATGAAAAGGGGAGGGAGTGGGCTTTATTGTGGCCATTCCCGTCCCGTCCCCCTTATGAGGGCATGGGCTTTGTTGGTGTCGTGGGCCGACTCCCCGTGGCGGGCTTCTTTGGGAGCCGCCAGGCGGGAGTCGGCCCGTCTTGACCTCGCCTCCAGGACTCGGCCGCATGCGGGCAGTCGGCTGTTCCTTTAGCCGGCCTCTGGAAGGCGGCTCTCCATCCCGGTGTCTTGAGGGGCGAAGTCAGTCCCGATGTCTTGAAAGGTTCTGAGCCTCGGGTTAGCCTACCCGAGGCCCATTAGTCCGACAGTTTGCGCATGTCAAGCTGTTTTCGAATGCAGTGTTAGAATTTTGGATGGAGCTGAATGACCCTGTTCACAAGTTCGCAATTGGAGGCGAGAAATATACATAAATTGATTGTATCCTTGTGTACCGTTTTTCTAATTGATGATCCTTGTATACCTTGATGATGTGTAGCTGCAAATTGATGATTCATGGCCGTGCTCTGAACTTTGGCGGTGTTTGAGTTTGTAAGAGAGATGATATTCTGGTAGTTTGAAGCTCCTCTTCATGTTAGCCTGATCAATTTCTGAAAGGGGGTAATTACCATGCATCTATAGTTCAAAGAGCTGCACTTTATTTCGTTTTTATGAAAGTAGCAGATTGGCTGCATGCTAAATTTGAGTGGGCTAGCTAGTACACTGCTTGCATGTTCAGGGTTCAGAAATTGAGAAGACAAGCTCTTGCTGCATGTAATAAGGATCAGAAGGCCAGTGATACGCGCCGGCGCGCCGGCCCAAATTTGGGCCAGTCGCAACGCACTTGTCCGATTAATTTATTTGCAGCCGCCAGATCTGACGCCTCCTACAGTCGTCTTCTTCCCCCGTTCTCCATGCTCCCGCACGCAGAGCATCGCCCCTCCCCTGCACCCGACTGGCCGCTGTCAGGGCCGTGGCCGACGGGCTCCGACGGGTTCCCGCCCGTGGCCGTCGGGATTCCATCATGGCCGCCCATGGGCTCCTCAGTGTACAGTCAACGAAGGATTGCAACTCGAATCCCCCCGGGTGGTTCCAGCTCACAGTTCGCCATGGTTGCAGCATGCCTTGACGTCACAGCCTCCGGCTCACCGTGGCCATTGGCTTGCATCGTGGTGTCCAACAAGAAAATTCTGAAAAACAAACAAAATCCTCGAGTGGTCGGTTGAAGCAAAAATATTACTAGGTTCCAGCAAAAAAAGCTCCAGTTCCAGCAAAACAAATTCAATAGGAAAAAAATCTCCAGTGGTTGTAGCAATAAAAATACCAGCTTCGAGCCAAAATTTGCGCCGGTTCCAGCAAAAGCAAATTTAGCATGGAAAAGCTCCGAGGTCAACTGTAGCAAAAAAAAGAAGAAGCTATTTCTAGCAAAATAATAATGCCGGTTGGAGCAAAAACACAAAGCTGGTGGTAGCAAAAATAAAAATAGAGACTAGTTTCCAGCAAAAACAGATGCAGGATGCAGCAAAATCCCATGCTGGTTCCAACAAAAATTGCCGCCGGTGCTAACAAAAAAAAGTAGCGGTTGTAGCACTGATGCCGCCTGGATTGCAAAAACGCTACTGGCTGGCTGCGGCTCCAACCATAGTCGGATCCAGCATCTCTCTCTGTAGCACATCGTTGCCGATGTACTTCCAACATCCGTAGCCACATCGCCGGCCCGTGCGCCGATTGCATCGTCATCATGCGCTGGTTCCAGCAAAACATGTCGCGCCGTTGCTCGCAGCTGGAGAATTTGGGATGTTACATTTGTGTAAGACTTGGTTCCGGGTTCCGCCCGAGTGAATCGGAGGCCGTGGTGGCATCGGAGGCCGTGGTGACCTCTTGAATAAATTGCAACTTTTCCCCGCTCAAAAGTAAAGGGAAAGAGACGCTCAGCGCAACAAGGCGCTCAAAGAGGAGGACGAGGCTGGCCTCCGGTCGTGCGAGATGCTACAAGAGAAGCCCGTCCAGTACGTTTCACTGGGCGATGACGGGCCTCTGGTCTCGTCGCTGCCCAGATCGATCTTTCAGGTCGCCGCTTCCTCCCACCTCCCGCTGCGGCCTCCCATCCCCACCGCCACGCCACTGCACGTCCCCGCTCCCGCCCCCGACCACGTCCTTTGCTGCCTACTGTCGCCTCCGGCCACGTGCACCGAGATAGTGTTGGAACCGTAGCCCTTTAACTACCTCTCCTCTCATTCGAATGAAGGTGGAAAAAGAAGAACAGTGGACACATGATTTTCCGGCCGGCGCACGAATGACGCCACACGCGCACGAACGCCCCAATCTTTTCTTCTTTACAGTGGCTACATGGCTTACATAAGGTTCACTTTCTCTACACACACGCAGGCTATAAATAGCCTTGCGCACGCACACATCCATGACCACACCGGCCACTAACACACGCATGCAACCACTAACCCACTACCTACATGCACGCACACCACACCAGCCATCCACACATGACCCGGTCAACACATACGCTTGCATGGGCTAGCTAACAAACTCCACTAAGCTAGTTAACAACCTGGTCATGGACTTGCGCCATTCACGCACGTCACACACGCGCGCGTACAGACCCTGGCACACACGCCATGACACACTCGTGGTTTATTTTCTAACATACTCTTCCTAAACCACGACGTCATCGTCGTCGGAGTTGGTGTAGCTCCTGTTGTCAGTGTCGTCACGATCGTGACCCAGCCCGCGGATCCGACCTGGCGCACCGATGCCGGTCGCACCACCATGGACCCGACCTGGCGCACTGACGCCGGTCCCACCGTGCTCCGTCACGTCTCCGGCGACATACGCCGAGCTCCTCCTCCACCGGCGACACACGCCTGACGTCCCACGGTGCCCCGCAGGTACCGCGCGCACCTGACGCGCCCGACGAGCCCAACCGCACCAGTGCATCCCGCATGTCCCGCGCGCACCCGACGCGTCCGACCACACCACACGCCATGGACTCATCGCGCGCCGCCTCCGTGTTCGCCATGGCAGCCGCCAGCGACAAACGCCGGAAGAATGTAGCCGAACTCGAGCACAACGGCGACATACGCCTCCTCCCAACGTCAACCGCACGCTTGTACACGCGCCCGCGGTCTCGACGCGGCCGACGTGTCCAGTGCGCACCAATAACACGCACTGGTCGTGTCCGACTCGCCGCCGCGGCTTATTGCCCTGCACCGTCGCGTCCTCCATGCCGCCGCGCCGTGCTGCGCCGCCGCGCTACCACGCAGTGCCTCGGCGGCCTCCGCGGTCGCCGCACATACGACGTCACCTCCCGCCGCCTCCGCCACGCGCCATGATAGCCACATCGCCGCCCACCTCCATGGGCCGACACACGGCCCGGAGCTCCGTCGCGCAGCTGCCGGCGAGCGCCGCCATCGCTGCCACGCCTCTGGCATGGCAAGCACGCCCAAGACACCAAGCTCATGATACCAATTGTTGGAACCGCAACCCTCTAGCTACCTCTCCTCTCACTCGAACGAAGGTGGAAAAAGAAGAACATTGGACACATGATTTTCCGGCCGGCGCAGGAACGCCGCCACGGGCGCATGAACGCCCCAATCTTTTCTTCTTTACAATGGCTACATGGCTTACACACGGTTCACTTTCTCTACACACACGCAGGCTATAAATAGCCTTGCGCACACGCATGCAGCCACTAACCCACTACCTACATGCACGCACACCACACCAGCCATCCACACATGACCCGGCCAACACATAGGCATGCATGGGCTAGCTAACAAACTCCACTAAGCTAGTTAACAACCTGGTCATGGACTTGCGCCACTCACGCATGTCACACACATGCGTACAGACCCTGGCACACACGCCGTGACATACTCGTGGTTTATTTCCTAACAGATAGTACAAGATATGTCCGTCCAGTTTATTAAGGCGTGGACAGGGAAGAAGAGGCGCCGCAAGTACCTATCGCCATCATCTTCAGATGCTCCTGCCACTGCCCAGCAACATCAAGCCCCGATTTCTCATGCGCCAGACATGGATGACACCATCTTGGCACAAGAAGAAAGCGATGAGCGCACCGGGGCGGGCGTCATTCTCAGCAAGGAAGACCAGGCCAGATATGCTAAACTTTTGCGTCCCAACATTCCTCCGCCCATTGATCCGTACTCCAATGTGGCATGGGAGGACTACGACCAGGTAGAGGAGCGCCTTGCACGCGTTCGCATCGCCTGTTACAAGGTACCTGCGTGCTGTATCAATCGCTCACCACTCATTTTAGTCAATGTAGTATGCTATAAAGTTTGTACATTCGCGATAGCAGCTAATCCAGTCTTGGTTTGGTATGCATGCGTGCATGATTTTATCTTTTGTATGTATCATCTGTGTGTAGATTGTGAAGCCAGAGGCCGCACATGAACTCAAGGAACCGGAAGAGTACACCGAGGATGAACTTTGTCAGGAGTCCTACTTTCGGCATTTGGATGATGATGAAAGTTTCGAGTGGTTCTTCCATCGCGACGATAGCCAGAAACCTGAATTGAATGACTACCAACGCATTGTCCTTCGTAATTTCGTAAGTTTATCTACACTGGCCATCCGGTTTGGTTAGTTTGATTATCTTAATCATTGGTGTTCAGAAACCATTTCAACACACACACTGTGAAAACCCTTAAATCAATGAGGTAGTTCATTTTGCTTCATTAATTCCAAACCATAGCTGCAACTGCAATGTTTGTAGCCATTAAGTACTTCTTCAGATGTGCCATCTAATTCTCGTCCTTTTTTTGTAGCTGCCTGATAGTTGTGAACGCCAGTACTGCTATCACGACGATTACCGCTCACGTTATCATACATATGAAATTGATTCCGTTTATGTCAAGTACTATGGAGAAATATCAAAGAAAATAAAGGTATGCATTATGTGATCAAGCTGTTGGAATTTAAAATGTTATCGGTGGCTGGATCATTTTTTAAGTGCTAGACTTCTATCTTGCAACAGTGGATTGCAGATTATTTGCATCTGGATCGCAGTACCGAGGCGGTAAGTATGCCCTGATAGACCCACTTGGGTCGTGTAGGTTAGATCTTTCTGGTAACCTACCTTCCTTGGGTGCGGAAGAGCTCGATCCAGAGCCGGCCATGGTGATGTAGGGGCCGGTGATCGCAGAGGGATCGAGATGGAGAGGTGGCAGTGGTGCTTCCCGTGAGCACTGCGATTGTCCTAGATCGTAAGGGGATATCGGTGGGGAGTCTGGCGGCGCGGTGAACCTCGTAACGTGCGCCCCGACCCCACCTCTTTATATATCGCAGGTCACAGGGGCCCACCAACCATAGAACGGTTGGGCGCCCCTGATCAGAATGCGAATAGATCAGGGCCCGATGGGCCGTTGAGCCCACTCGGTGGAGAGATCAACCTAACATTCCTCCCCCTAATCTCAACTTTTACTTTTAACCTTATACTTTCTAGTTTATTTGATTCATCACATATTGGTACATAGAGCATGTTTCATCGTCACAGCTTAATTGCCGTTAGAACCATACAGCTACAACATACGTTATGATCAGAAGCAAATTCTGTTCCTTTTGGGCCTATCCAGGAATCATAAGGCTTTCCCTTAAACCCATGCCGGCTATGTGTTCCTTGAACACATTGGGTGGTAAGCCTTTCGTTAGCGGATCCGCAAGCATATCCTTTGTCCTTATATGCTCGAGACTTATAGTTTGATCCTGGATTTTATCTTTCACAACATAATACATCATCTCTATTGTTTTGGTAGCATTACTCGACTTGTTGTTGTGAGCGTAAAATACTGCGGGTTGGTTGTCGCAGTACATCTTTAGTGGCTTGTGAATACAATCTACCACTTTCAAGTCGGGTAGAAATTTCTTTAGCCATATCGCCTGCCTCGTGGCTTCGAAGCATGCTATGAATTCTGCATACATCGTGGATGATGCAACTATTGACTGTTTGGAGCTTTTTCACGAAATAGCTTCCCCAGCAAGAGTGAAGACGTATCCTGACGTGGATTTTCTATCATCTCTGCCCCCCGCAAAATCTATGTCTGAATACCCTTTTATCTCTAGGGATTCACTTCTCCTGTATATTAGCATGTAGTCCTTCGTGCCTTGCGCATAACGCAATGCTTTCTTTACCATCTTCTAGTGCTCCATGCCTGGATTCTCTTGATATCTACCGAGTACCCCGGTGATAAAAGCTAAGTCAGGGCGAGTGCACACTTGTACATACTATAAGCTGCCAACTGCCGAAGCATATGGTACTGCTTTCATTTGATCGATCTCATACTGGTTCTTGGGACATTGGAATTTCCCAAAACTATCGCCCTTGACTATAGGACCAGGTGTGGCTTTACTCGCATGCATGTTATACTTTTTAAGAACCTTTTCTAAATATGCTTTCTGCGATAGTCCTAAGACTCCACTGTTCCTATCTCGGTGAATTCCTATGCCCAAAACATATGATGCTTCACCAAGATCTGTTATGTCAAAATTTGAGGATAGGTATTTCTTTGTTTCTTGTAGTAGACTAACATCACTACTAGCAAGCAGGATATCATCCACATACAAGATTAGGAAAATATATTTCCCATTTTTAAACTTTGCATAAGTGCAATTATCCTCAATATTTTCTTTAAATCCAAAACTTTTAATCGTTTGATTAAACTTTAGATACCACTGCCGAGAGGCTTGTCTTAATCCATAAATGGATTTCTTCAGGCGGCATCCCATATTTTCCTTGCCTTCCATGATAAAACCCTTAGGCTTTTTCATGTAGACATTTTCTTTTAAATCACCATTCAGAAATGCCGTCTTAACATCCATTTGATGTAATTCTAAATCAAAATGAGCAACTAATGCCATTATGATTCTGAAGGAATCCTTACATGAGACTGGAGAAAATGTCTCATTGTAATCTATCCCTTCTCTTTGTGTAAATCCTTTTGCCACGAGTCGTGCTTTATACTTTTCTATATTCCCTTTAGAGTCATACTTAATTTTGTAGACCCATTGACAGCCTACTGTTTTGGCTCCTTTAGGAATTTCCTCTAAGTCCCAAACATCTTTGGGACTCATCGATTTCATCTCGTCTTCCATTGCCTTCATCCACATCGATGAATGATGGCTTCTCATGGCTTCTTCATATGAGGTGGGATCTTTTTCCATATGAACCATTTCTGTGTTATAAACTTTAAAGTCAGTAGAAATAGCTGACTTTCTTGGTCTTGTAGACCTTCTTAGGGCCTCATTTTCTGGCACATTCTGTGCCTCAACTTCTGGCACTTCTTCTAAAATTTGTTGTTGCACCTCCCTTTCATGCTCAACAACTGGTTCAGTCGGCTCCTGACGGACAGGTTCCGGGTCTACCCCCAAGGTTGTCATGGGTGGAGTTGCAACTGGTAGTGAGAAAAATGGCTCCTGAATCATCGGATTAGGTGCATGCACCCTCTTCTCCTCAAGATCAATTTTCCGAGCTACCAAGCTCTCCCTCATCATTTCGTCCTCAAAGAAGACTGCATGTCTCGTTTCTACAAACTTTGTATATCTGTCAGGGCAGTAGAAACGAGAACCTTTTGATCTGTCTGGATAGCCAATGAAGTGGCAACTTACTGTTTTGGGATCTAACTTTGCAATGTTTGGATTAAACATTTTGGCCTCAGCAGGGCACCCCCACACCCTGAAGTGTTGTAAGGAGGGTACCCTTCCTGTCCATAGCTCGTACGGTGTTTTGGGCACCGACTTGCTTGGTAGTCTATTGAGAATGTGAATGACGGTTTTAAGCGCCTCCATCCATAATCCCAATGGTAAGTTGGAATAACTCATCATGCTGCGCACCATATCCATAAGTGTACGGTTGCGCATTTCAGCTACTCCATTTTGCTGAGGTTCACCCGGCATTGAATACTGGGCAACTATGCCAGTCTCCTGTAAGAACTTTGCAAAAGGTCCAGGGACATGGCCATATGGAGTGTGCCGACCGCAGTACTCTCCCCCACGGTCGGACCTTACTATCTTTATTCTTTTATCATGCTGATTTTCAACTTCAGCTTTGAATATTTTAAATTTATCCAACACTTCAGATCTTTCTTTGATTGGATAAATATAACCATAGCGAGAGTAATCATCTGTGAATGTTATGAACGAGTCATATCCATCCACACTTTTCACTAGAAATGGTCCACAAATGTCGGTGTGGATGATTTCTAGTGTGCTTGAGCTATGGATTGCACCTTTTTTGATTTGTTTTATATACTTTCCTTTAATGCAATCTACACATTGTTCTAAGTCTGAGAATTCTAACTGTGGAAGAATTTCACTTTTGACTAATCTTTCTATTCCCCCCTTCGAAATATGGCCCAAGCGATAGTGCCATAATTTTGATGAGTCGAATGTGCTATTTCTTTTCTTTTGTTCTTTATTCGACGTGGAAACATGTTCATTCACATTGCATACAGAATGCACTTTTTCACGAAGTGATAACAGATAAAGCTCATCATGTAGTAAAGCATTACCAACATAAGCATTATTATACCAGATGGCACACTTGCCATGTCCTAACACTCATAATTTTCTTTGTCCAAACATGAAACGCTAATTAAGTTTCTATTACATGAAGGAACATAAAGAACATCTCTAAGTAGAAGCTTGAATCCATCAGCTAACTCCAAGGAGATGTCGCCGACAGCTTCAACTTCTGCTTTTATTCCATTGGCTACTTCAATGCCTCCTTCTCTTCTTAGCGTAGTCCGGGTCGAATGGAATTCCTGTAAACAATTTGCAACATGAACAGTTGCCCCTGAGTCAATTCACCAAGTAGATTTTGAAAACTATGTGTACAAGGATTCATTTACTAAGGAAACAATGTTGTTACCTTGCTTTACCATTAAGGACTTCAGCCAAACAGGGCAGTCTTTCTTGTAATGCCCGGTCTGCTTACAGTGGAGACAAGTGTCTTTGTCCACTGGGAAAGACTGTTGCTGACGCTGATGCTGATAGGGAGCTTTTCCTTGTGGCTTTGAAGGAGAACTTTTGTTGTTTTGATTGTAGTTCTTTTTCTTATGATCCTTCACATAGTTGAGTGTTCCACCATGTGAAGCTTTTAGTCTGTCCTCTTCTTGGACACACATAGCAATTGTCTTTTCTATGTCCCATGTTCCAGGTGACATTATAATTCACAACAAAAGTTTCAAACTCCTTTGGCAGTGAAGCCATGACAAGGTGGACCAGGAGCTTTGATTTGATCTTTAGATCCTCGTCCATAGGCTTTAACTTTGCTGCCATATTGCTCATCCTCAAGATGTGCTCTCTTATTCCACCACCTGTGTATTGTTCCTTCACAAGTTGTTTTAACACCTGGGTGGCATATATCTTTGAAGAGCCAGTGAACTGGCTCTTTATCTTTGTCAGCAACTCCGCAGCTGAAGCGCACTCTGCAATGGAGCCCACAATGGTGCTCTCAATTGTATTCTTTATAAAGGCCATGCATTTTTTATTTGCATTGACCCACTTTTGGTTGGCTATAATGTAGGACATCTCCAAAGGAGCATAATCCCCCTTCCTTTTAGCCCATGCAGCATCATCCTCAGTAGTCTCTCTTACTGGCTCTGTAGGTCTGACCGGCTATGGTTCATCCAGAACCCAGTCCAGATCAGCACAAACAAATGCCAGTTCAACTTTCTTCCTCCACTCAGTGTGGTTGTCACCTCTGAGTGTCGAAACTTCTTTTAGGCAACTCATCAAGTGAAAGCCTCCTGAAATCACAATTTAAGTGACATCAATATAACAATCATATGCATTAATCTAACGTTGGTCAAATTAAACATATAATTGTCTATGCAATTAAATCTATATTACCGTTGGGAAAAATATTAGAAATAAATGCACCTTTAATTTCAATAATAAAATATGGTCATGTTATTAACAATGTTGGTCATAAGAATAACATAAACATATTTATTCTAATTATAACTTTAACATGCTCTTTTAATAAATCTCTCTAAACTTTTATTTTCAAGAAAAAGAGCAATATTAATTCTGTACGCAGCGGAAAAACATGAATAAAATCATGAACTTTTTATTCTTTGCAGAAATTTTTCTTTGATCAAATGAAAAAAATTCATGAACTTATTTAATAAAAATTCATGAACAATTCTTTTTCTAGAAATTTCCTTTTTATATTTCGAGAGACTTTTCTACCTTTCTATATTTTGTAAACAATAAATTTCGCTGGAAATATGTATTGCATAGAAAACAAAAAACAAGACTTTTGAATCTGCCCAAAACTGGACAGAAAACATTAAAAGGAAAAAGCCTCAAACAACAGTTGCCCCGCGGGCCTACTCGGCTCGCCGCGCCGCGCTAGCCGGCCCAGTCGCTCTGTCTTTCGGCCTGGTCCGCGGTCACTTTCGGCCCAAAAGGCCAGTGGGATACTAGGGTTTTCATCTGGACCGTCCATCACGATCGACGACTGTCCGCTGATTTCGCTGGAACAAAACAGAGAGTCCGATCCCAGTCCAACCCTAGCGCCCCCACTCTCTACTCAATCTGTTTCTCTTCTTGCTCAGTCTCTCCCGATGGCGGAGGAAACAAGGCTCGGTCACCGGCCGTCCAGCCCGGCCGCCGGCGACGGGGGCTAGAGCCACCGCGCCGCGCCAGCGCCTCCTTTCCATTCCCCTTTCCTTCTCTTTGCGTGAGCCTCCTGTGGCAGAAAGAGAGAGATAGGAGCCGTCTCCGATCCGTCTCCTCGCCTTGTCTGCGATGCAGCGGGTCGGGGCTCCGGCGGCCGCCGGCGACGACAACGCGCCACCGCGCCGCGCGAGCACTCTTTTCCCCTTCCCCTTCTTTTCTTTTTACTGTCTCCATCCACCCCCTCCCCACAGAGAGAAAGAGAGGCAACTGCCGCACGACGGCGACCTAGATGGACGGAGAGGCTTCGCCCCTGCCGACCCCTTCGCCGGTCGCGCGTTCCCCTTGAGGTGAGTGCGCCGCCATCGAATGGATCGGTGGTGGTGATCTTTGCCCCTGAAAAGGGGTGGTGTTCTTCTTCTCGATGCCTCGGCTTGCCGATGCGCATCGAGATCGAGAGGAACGGCGCGGCCTTGCGGCGGTGCTACTTTTTCCGTTTCCTTGAAGGATTCGTTCTTTGCCCTGTCTAGGGTTCTTGGGGGGAGGGGATCTCTATTTCTTTCTTTGTTTTATCTTTTTACCAAAAAACATCTAACCAAGATGGCCTGATACCATTGATAGACCCACTTGGATCGTGTAGGCTAGATCTTTCCGGTAACCTACCTTCCTTGGGTGCGGAAGAGCTCGATCCAGAGCCGGCCATGGTGATGTAGGGGCCGGTGATCGCAGAGGGATCGAGATGGAGAGGTGGCAGTGGTGCTTCCTGTGGGCACTGCGATTGCCCTAGATCGGAAGGGGATATCGATGGGGAGTCTGGCGGCGCAGTGATCTTCGTACCGTGCGCCCCGGCCCCCACCTCTTTATATATCGCAGGTCACAGGGGCCCACCAACCATAGAACAGTTGGGCGCCCCCGATCAGGACGCGAATAGATCAGGGCCAGATGGGCCGTTGAGCCCACTCGATGGAGAGATCAACCTAACATGCCCCTCGGGAAATCACGAAATATAGGTATATTAGTCATATACACATGATGGTTAACTTCTTTGCACTTCAGTGGAGAAACATGTATACTATAGCATGGAGGCAAGCATTGAGGATTGCAACACACTTTCCCCATATGACTGTTCATTTAGCTGCTTTTGCCTATAATGTAAGACATCTTATCTTTTGCTAATTGAGGTGTTCATTGCCGGTGTTATTCACGATCTGGTCCCTTTGATTCAGGAGTACATTATTGAGCTGAACACATATGCGTCCCTCAAGGACATAGATCTTCTCTATTTTGAGATATGGAGGCTTGTCGCCAAGGAAGATGTGTCTATCCTACCACATTAGACATTTGTGTAATAATGCAATATTGACATGCTTTGTGATTATCATATTTATCATGGTTTGAAAAATATTTCAGAGGAGATACTTAGATGCTGTGAAGGAAGTATATGAAATGGACAAGTTTGCTATACACAAAAGGGTACTACATGCTGAACTGAATGCGTTGCCTGTCTTTGTAACAATAAAGCAAATGGTAAGTTGATCTCTTAAGCTGGGTCTGTTTTGCAAATTTGTATAGCCTCTAACTCTGAATTTATGTTGTAAGAAATATGCTACATATTGCCAATATCTCATTTCATCTGTTTACTTTTCTAGATTTATTCTATTGTCAAGGAGGGTGGCATTGATCTGAAGGTAAGTAGGATACTTTATGATTGACATGATGATACATATGTAACTGTAATAGATTGTTAACATCGATATGACCTTTGTGTGCTATTTTTAGGCTAAAGAGGATGAAGCTCGGGCTGTGTTTAGCAAGTTAGCTTTCAGGAAGGTAGTCTCTCAATGAATCCTCTATGAATATTGATATGTCGCGGTACTTTTTATAACTGGATTACTTGTTCAGCATAAAACAATGAACATGGCGCAGTACGCTGAAAAGAAGATGGAGATCGCAGATCGGTTGGGTTTGGACAAAAAGGTAAATATCCAGTATGTTAACTGTATAGCCAGAGTAGTGTTCCGCCCCGAGATTAAAACAAAAAGGAATTTATGTCTGTGTTTGTAATCCACCTTGCAGGAAGGATTTGTTTTCGTGGGGATATGATTATGGGAACATTAGATTCGTCGCCCTTGATCTGAAATCTATCGCTGTCCCTTTTGGTCTGAAATCAATTAATATGGTCCGTTATCTCATCTAATAGCGAGACAGAACTAATATGATGATGATTGTATTACATAACCAGCCCACTAGTCTGAAATTGTGGATGGTGCTTGGCTCTAGTTTAAATTAGTGGAACCCAGCCACATTCTTTGTAATGTTATTCACGCAGGATGCTTGCTGGGGTTTTTCCCCCGCATTTGTTTCTTAGTTGGGTCCCAGTCACTGTACCTCCATGCGACAATGAGATGAAATTGACAGCAATGCTTTGCATGCCTTGATATTAGTGCAACTATGAATTAACATCATATGATCCAATTTCCTTGTTTGAGATTAAGTCTGAGAAAGGGTTATCGATACAGTTTTTAAGTCAGTAATAACTGATCTGGATTCATGTGATCCCAGGTACTTGTTTTCCTTTTAGGCGTGACCTTTATCAATGTACAAACCCTTGCTCTTGCCCTCCCTTCCCGTTATTTTCCAAATCCGCTTCCGTACTCATTCACTGGTCTGTTGTCACACTTCACTCACGCACCGCTGCTTATCCACCTCATCGGCGACCGTGTTCCACTATCCACCCCTCACTCTCCACCATCGTCCCCAACCACACATTTGAGGCTCATCCCTCAACCCCCTCACGACGACCCCAACACATTGTGACTGCGTGATGGGGGAGAAGACATGAAACTCCGCCTCCACCCCTATCCTCTTCGCTGCGCAGAAACTGCCCATCCGAGCGTCCCTGAAACCCCACCACCGATGAAATGATCGAGATGGACCTAGGGTGTGAATAGGGACAAGTACAAATTTTACTTTGATTATTAGCAGGTGTAGGAGAAAATTGCAAAAACACACCAACTACAATTGCGCACATGTTTGTCGAAAACCACCGAAATGCTAACAGATTGCAAAACAAAAATTGTTTTTGAGTATAAAAAAAATTGCTGATAGCACTAAATGCTCAATTGAGCGCATTTTGACGGAAATCTGGCAGTGGGGCCCGCTGTAAGTGATGAGGCGGCATGAAGTAACATTTAGGGCAGACAACCATTATAGTTGATGTGTGGGGTCCATGTGTCCTAGGAAGAGAAAAGAAAGGAGAAAAGAAAAGAATGGCCGGTGTGGACGTCTCCTCATACCCCGGTCTCTTGATGTGCTCGCCCACACGCCATCGAGCCATGCGCCACCCTTGGACATGGCACACCGTCCTCCGATGCAACTCCTGCCTGCCATGGACGCCTCTTCGGATGACACTTTGCTCGTTGGAAGCTAACCAGCATCGCCACTGGACGATATTGTTGGAAATATGCCCTAAAGGCAATAATAATTATATTATTTATTTTTATGCTTATAATTAGATGTTTGTATTTTATGCTATAACTGCTATGGTTCTTACTGTTGGAAATATGTCCTAAAGGACATAACAATTGTATATTCATTTTTCATATTTATAATTATATGTTTATATTCTATGGGAAAAGCTTAAGTTCACCCGACCGATCACGCGCGCCGCGTCCACCGGCTCTGCATCCGTCGGATCATCTGTTGATCGGACGGATGAGAGCCTCACCGCTTCCGCATCACGCGCGTCCGTTTTCTGAAACATACCCGTTGTTTCAGGAAAATGACCCTGCAGCTGGAAGCGGTCATTCCCGCAGCAGCGTGTGCTCGCAGGGCTGGGAGGGCGACGACGACTGTATCTGGGAGGGTGGCGGCGTGACCGGGGCTAACCCACTGCCATGACGACGACGAAGTCTTCGGGACCGGCAGCGGCCAGCGGCAACCCAAGCAAGTACGGATCTCCTCTGGATCCTTGTGATTTCTCCTCCTTCCTTCCCCCCATTTCTAGCCGACGTTGTTGCTCTAGTCGAGTTCACCTTCGTGCCTTCCGGTGGCTTCACCGGCGGCTCCGCAGCGAGCGGCTAAGCAGTGGTTAGGGTTGCGATGGCGCCCTCTTTTTTTGATTTGTGCACCCGAATTTGGATGTGTAATTGACTAGGAACTCGGGGTGGGGAATGGATTTTGCGCCCTCTGTTTGTGAGCATGAGTGGCCACAGGTTTGTTGTTTCATCACCTGACCTGCGATGGAGAAGGAAGGCCCCAGTCCAGGAGCACCTAGAGAGGAGCAGGCAGTTTTAGCATGAACTTTTTCGTTTTCTGTTTGTGAGCATGAATGACCACAAGTTTTTCCCTACCTGACTGCCCCTTGGCACCTGGAGAGGAGCAGGAATATTTGTAGCTACAGGAATATTTGTAGAACAGGCACAACAAGTTTTTCCCATAATAGTTGTAGCTCCAGGAACTATTGGAGCAAAAAAAAATACATTGAATCCATTGGAAATCATACAGTCATACGGTCACTTGAAAGGAAACCCAACTTCAGAAGTTTTTTGAATTTTTGTAGCTTATAGCTTTCTGTAGCTCATAGCTTTCCGAATGGATTTTTATAGTTTTTATGCTACAAGATATCTTTTCAAAGCTATCTTTTAGTGCATCATGATCTGGGTTTGTGAAAAAAATTTGTTAATATTGCAGCTCTTCTTCACCATTGTCAAGGATGGACATTGGGCAGTTGTTGTTGCGAACTTGATGCAAAAACAATTCAATGTTTTTGACTCCAGGAGCGACGACCCTAACTACATAGCAACCTTGAGCGGCCATGTTGCAATCTGGTATGAAAACTACACCCCTTTTTTCATCTTTGTTTGATCATTTTCATTCTTTTTATCATATCAAATTGATCATGTGGTATCAATCAAAGAAGATGTCACCGTGCCATCTTTTTATATCTTAATTTTTTCTAATATTAAATGTGCAGATAACAAACTTCAAAACTCTGGTGCAAGAACGAAACCCATCGAAGCTTGATCTTGACAAGTTCGATTGTTTTCAGCCCAAAGGGGTACCCCGCATCAATCAACAACATATTATTCTCTTTTTCGTTTTTCTTTTCTTTCATGTGCCCATCCACAACTTTCTACATTTGTTTCAGGAAGCATTTTTAGGCGTACCTTTTTTTGGCAGGTTTGATTGTGGGTTCTTTGTTATTCTGTACATGGAGAATCTAACAGCAAGGGGGATGAAGCCATTCAACACGGTATAACCATTTTTGCTATGCAACACTAGTAGCTAAATAACATTGTTTTTGGTTTCAAAACACTACTTTTGTGAATATGACTCCTATCAACACCCCCCTCCTGTGTTTCTTATGATGTTTTTTATTTATGCTTTTTGTATGCTCAGGACACGAGGTCGTTGCTCAATTTCCGAACATTTGTTGCGGTGAAGCTATTCAATCATCCTCAAAACACAATCGACTCAGCCGAAGATTTGCAAAAACTGTTGAGAAGCTCGCAGAGGATGTCGTTTCCGAAACAAGATCTTGCTAGTTTAGTTTTTAGGCTTTTGCGGGTCCTTGTGTGCGCTACATTCTTTTATGTAACTGAAACAACAAGTTTCTGTTAACTAGCTAGTTGTCTTTTGCAGAACTCAAGATGGAGCATGTATCATGCCGGGGCATGTCCCTTTCCCCCCTCTTTTCTTGAAAATGCTAGAGCATCAGCCATGCTTAGCTATCAATGTGAACTAGAGATGGATGCCGAGTTGACAATGAAAATGACTGGCTTTTTTGCAGTTTGTTTCCTTGCTTATTGGTATATTTTTTGCTGAAACAATGAATCCTACTGGTATTATTATGTGCTATGGGGAAACATGTTGTAACAAGAATGCACAATGAAACCATCCTGTATCATCAGTCATCTATAGAATAGATTTTTTGAGCACTAAAAACATGATGTCGCATTATGAAGCAAACGGTACATTCATGTATATGCCAGGGAGGACAAAATGTACAACATGAATCATGAAACAAACAACACATTCATGTGCCAGAGTAGTACTGGTAATATGGCACATACCTCAAGAAATTTCAAAAGACAAAATGTGAGCTATCTTGAATGTCTCAAGTCCAAATGTGAGGTCTCTTACTTTTTTCTGTTTTAGCGTAACATACGTTTTTCAAATTGAAATAGAACCTAAATACATCATCAAGGTTGCAACAATGAAAGGAAATTATGAATGTTTTTTGCTCAAGCACAGGGAATGCAAAACATCTTTGACTAGGACCAAGAACTTCCCCCTGGCTACTTGTTTTCGGTTTTCGGGCTTTCTAGCATGCACACACCCAAAGACCCTCTTGATCATTATTGCATCCTCTTGTTTCTGGCCTCTCTTCTGGTTATACTTTGTAGAATATATATGTGTGACGAACCCCAACTTGAAGGCATAGTCATTGTAGAATTTCTTGGCATCCTCAATTGTGTCAAACACCATGCCGACATAGGGTGGTAGCGGCTGCGATGAAACATCCCCGTCATCTGAATCATCTTGCATCGCATCATCAACATTTAACAAACCATCTGAATATTCATGATTATGGACACAAAAGTTCCCTTGGACATAGCTCTCTTCCCCTTTAGTCCCAGCTTCCTGAAACGAGACGCATGTTTTTTATGTAAATAGAGAGGTGTTGTTTCAGAAATTCAAGTACACAGATACATTAATCAACAGTTTTTCAGCTTCATTTGCACACAAAAATCTTCACTCAATGTGGCCTTTTCTCACATAAGCATACACATTCAAAGTTGTATCACAGTGATATATTTTACTTTCTTCATCAAATAGATTGATAAATAACAAGTAACAGAGGGGATCATGTTGCAGAGATAGAAGAAGCAGACAGGTGTGTGGGGATGTGCTTTGGTTCCACTTACACACATGAGACAAAATTGATTTTCTAGCTGCCACACACATGAAACAAATAGGAATTCTAGCTATGTTTCTGATACACAGTTTTTTCACGAGTTTCAGAGACAAACAAGTGTTCATGTTTTTCAGAGTCGGGAACTCACCCAGCTGCCCTAATGTGATATGGTGGAAGTTGTTTAAGGAAACACAACCGGGGGGGATTGTTAACCAGGATGATACTACAGCTCGTGCAGGACCCCCCCGACGGCGGTCGGATCTGAGAATTTTGGCCGCGGCTATCCTTGAAGCAGCAGCCCCCGGCAAGCTCGATCTTTGTCGGATCCCAGCATCTGACTCATGATGTGATGTGCCATGTTGTTGAAGGTTTTTGCACTGAAGGATTAGCTGGCCCGCACCAGCGGCAGCAATTTTGCGAGTGGAGGGGACTAGCGCCGCACTGCGTGCAGCCGTGCCTGGACGGCGGACAAGGGATTCTATTTCTGAAACAGAATGGCTATTGCAGGAAGTAATGACCTGGTCAGTTGCGCGCGATGGTTGCATCCGACGGCTGTTAGGTGTCTAATCAAACGGCTCTCCGGGCGGTGGATGTTTCCGCCTGTGGACGCGTAGCGGCGCCCTGCTATAAGTGCTATGGTTCTTGAATATGTAATTCAGAGAAAAACCCATAATCACTTGTAGAATAAACGATAAAATCTGATTCCTAGTCTTGCCTCTAGGACTAGCTCAAGTGTTGCATGATGGTTATGTTTTCTTGATCATAGGCATAAGTTAAATGTAACAAGGATGCCGACAACTTTAAGAGTATGATGTTAGAAGAACGATCATGTTGAAATAACCCAATGTTTGTTATACATAGAGATGGCATCGTCGCAAGTCTATAGTCTATAACAAGG